TCACAAAAATTCCACAATAGAACAAATAACGCGCCTTAGGTAGTGAGCTCAACAAATGAGTTGAACTGTTTGTTAATTCCATGGGGTTCTTTAGTTCCAAGGCGAAATATAGTTTCCTCCTCGACACGCCTGACCTGATTTTCGTTGCCATTGACAACACATACCGTTATTTGTTCTATTGTGGAATTTTTTGTGATTTTATTGTGGAATTTATCGTTCATGCGCGTTCTTACTTCCTATGCTCTACCTGTACGTTTTAACATTTTCTTCTATGCTATCGATAAAGAGCCATTGCTCGAAACGTCTAGCTATTTTTAATAGTTATTTAGGACTACGATTACCAAATATTATCTTCTATATATCATATTTATCAGTCCGAGCAGCGTTTATTTATTTATAAACATGTATGGCTATATCTCCTTACGGGAAAAATAATATAATGTTTATCAGGCACTTGGTTTTGACCGCAATCTTGGATTTTTTGGCAACAATTATCTCAATTTCTGACATTTGTTGTTCATGAGTGCATAAATCGATCACCTTCTTATTTTTATATAGTATGTATAGCCAAGGTTTTTTTTACAAGAAATATAAAATGATTTTGATTGATCACGTGGTTTGTTCGCCATCCTTGATTTGGTCAAAAACGTAATTGTGCAATTACGTGTGCTGTGTTGGAGTGATTGATCACTTTGGTGATGTACATTTTTTTTGGAAAATCACATGTCTAGTGTGATATCTAGTAGCGACCTTTGCTCCTATAAAAGCATTGAACAAGAGATCCCATTAATATGTATAACTGTGGTACCTGAAATACTTGCAGACATAAAACTAAAGTGACAAAGAAGACATTGAACAAAATATGTAACTAACATAAGATATGGCTATATATGATTATGCGACCTCATTAGTATGTAGAAGCACATGGCTCGATATATACTCTAGAAACCATATCAAATAATAATTAAATGCATGCAACCAACTGCATTCCGACTATGGTTCTGATGTTTCTCAGAAACATTACACACTCATTTATATGACTCACGTTTATTCATCGTCTCTGTTTAGCAGTTAACGACAGTTGATACTGTGATCGTCGTGCGACCCCTTAAACTTGTTTAGGGTTTCCATCCAAGATACTTGTTGTACACATAATGAGAACGGAGCTTTATTACACTCACAACATAATAAATTTGTCTGTTTGTTTATATTTTTTCGGGTTGTCAAAGTATGTCTCCCAACATGCTATTTTAATTTATTTTAATTTATTTCAGTGATTCACGTCTTTGATATCTAACTTCTATTTCAAATATTAAAACAAAATATTATTAGCCCTAGTCAGTGTAATTAACACATTGCTTGTGACAACTTCTATCCTAGCTTCTACGATAGAAACGTCTACCATGATCACAACCACCCATACACCAACAACACAAGATACAAATCCAACGAACACCTCGTTGGCGATTACAAGTCTAGAGACCTCCTCTAAAAGGGAAACCACTGCCACATTCAAAGGTGCAAAATCAGGTGCGGTTACCTCACATGAAAATAAGATGTGATAAATGAATATTTCAGAATTGAAAATTATGATATCACTGCCTGGAAGTATCTGCGTCAATTACATTAAAACTTAAAAACAATCAATTTCTTTTCAGATGGTAACACTCTTAGCACTTCGGCTGTTATAACCCCGACAGATACGTCCACCATGATCACGTCAATCCATACACCAACAGCACAAGCAACAGCGTCCACAAGCTCCTTATCGGCAACTACTTCTATAGACGCAACAACCACCACACTCACGAATAAGAAATCAGGTAACGTCATATGGAAATAAGGTGTAGTAAACAATTAATTCATAGTTGAAAATTATAACATCACTGTCTTCAAGCATCTGCGTCAATTATACTGGAGCTTAAATCAATACATTCCTTTCCAGGTGATAACGCACTTAGCACTTTGGATACAATAACCCCAGCAGCTGCTATAACAGAGACGCCCACATTATTCTATGCATCTACAATACGTACTACAGCTACTAGAGCATCAACCACCACACTTAAAAATGGAAAATCGGGTGACTGCAATTTTTAAACATCATTTCCACAGTAACTAAGGTGACCCAGTCGTTAAAAACCCTAACAAAATATAACTATAATTTCTTCTTTATTTTGTATTTATGCAGTAAACAATAAAGTCCAATTAATGAAGCTCTATAATAATGTGCCCAATTATTGTTATATTTTGACGACTGAAATGTACGTTACGAAGAAAATAATTAAAGATCATATCTAAAAAACAAATACGTTACACCATTGTATTTATTAAACAAATTAGAACGATAATAATTAGTTACACATTTCCTGAGACTTGATTCATGTTTTTTATTAAGTATAAATTCCATTTTAAAATAATCACCAATGCAATGCTTTGACATTAATTACTACATTTGATATTGGTTGATTGGTATTCATAACGCATAACGTGACTGTAATTGTATTAAGTCATAGGCGTGATAACACAAAAGAAATTCAATTCATTTGTCCTTACCTAACCAATTTCTTGTTTGTTTGTGTATATCAATTATTTCCGCCAGTTAAAAGTAATGACTTTCGTTTGATTTCTAGGTGACATCACACTGAGCATTTCGAATATAACAATTACAAATCCCACTAAAACAGAGTTCACCGCCGATATCTCATCGAATCACATGACCACACAACAAGCTATATCATCTACATCTATCTCGGCGGCAACTACAGTTCCGCACTTCACCACAGTAAGCGCATCAACAACCCCAGTTATCAATGAAATATCAGGTGAGGTCAGGTGATAGCAATTTATAATACCAGACGTTTACTTAAATGTAGGTGCATTGTACGCTATTCCCTGTTAACTATGCGCAATACTTTGCTTTGGGGAAAAAATATCCCAACTCTCACAATCCTCATTTATTTTTTTCTGCAACAATGAGGCATACACCATTCAAATTAACAATTTTAAAGATGTATTTGTCAATGGAAGTTGATTGTAATGTGGTCAATGCAAAACATAGAATGTTAATGGAATGATTTAAAGTGCGCCGTTCAGTCGGGTTTGCCCAATACGTGATTTATTAATAGAGATTTTATTGTCAAATATGTGCTATTTCAATGGGATACTGTGAATACATTTGCATACATATAATAAATTTGAATACGAGGTCACCGTGAATTTGAGGACAAGTGATGTGATACCGCAATTCTAGAATTTGAACGGATTGGTATCGTAGGATCCGTTGAAAGACGCATTAGAAACCAGACACAGGATGATCCTTTTAGGCAACTGACCGAGGAATATCAAAAGTTTGTTTAATGACATTGGATGGAAGCCTGGATGGAAGCGATTTTCATAACGCATCGAACGATGGGGTATTTTGCAGTACTCTGTTTCAATGCTTCAACGTGTCCCAGTTTTACGTTTGAGTCCCATGTTAGCGTCATCATCAGTGGCCCTCGGGTTAGCGACATCCATTTTTCCATCGGTGTCCTTCACAAATATCGCCGCACCAATCTGCGTTGATTTGGCGTCCCCTCCATAATTCAATAGCGTTTCAATCAAGGCTATGTAAGAATAGGTGGGAGATGCGTACGAAATCTAGTTTCCATTCAGGTACACGTCGATTTGATTGAAGAGGAAATGCAATCACAAGTTTGTAGGCCCTACAGTGACCTCCACAGCCAAATTACGTCCTTTGGCATTCGTGATTTTAGCCTTGATGTGCAAAAGCGGCCGAAGGTATTACGAATTTGCTCGGACCATAGGCTATATTCATGAGTGGGTTTACCTCTTCGTAACTTCTATTTTCGATACTTGTCTGTGTTGGAGGAATAGTAAAGAGGTCGAGTTCCGTCTTTGTGCATTTCACAGGAGTTCGTGTACAAAAGCTACAATGTTCAGTCGAATATATCCGGAGATCTTCCCTTCTTCTTAGCCTTTGAAGAAAACACACGTCTCGTTGTTGCCTTCTTCCTTTTGATGGACCATCCTTGCCCCGTTTTTAGAGGGTCTTCCAAATAAATTGCTCAATACTGAAGAACTAATTTGACGACTCACAACTTTGCTCTACTCGGAGCCGCTTTTTTGAAGTTTTTCCCTTGTACAACGTCACCTAGAATACCCAAACTGGCATCGAGCGCTGATTTCGCCACTGCTTTCAGACCTTGTGTTAACAGAGGTCTGGCCAATCATGCCAATCCAGAAAACATACTTTCGTTTCGCATCAGAAAATACAGATCCTCGTCCAATCTGATTCATGTAGTAATTTATATAAACTCCACATGAGGAGAGTAAGGTCGATGTCTGTTCATTTTCTTTTTCTTCACACTAGCGAAGGACAAGCTTTGCGAAAACTCAGTGTCACGATCAAACGCCCACGTTGAAATGGCACCTTCTCCCCCATATCAAACCTTATATCAATCTCCACAGTCTCGAATGTTGAAGTTTGAATCGGGAGAAAGTATGGTTTGTTGTAAGTGTGATTGACGCTATCTCCGTGGGTTCCTTCAACACTGACTATTCTCAAAAGAGGTACGAAAACGACACCATTCATTTGGTGTTCAACTATATTGCAATACAGGTAGAGGGAATACAAACTTCTAACGTCGGCAAGTGCCTGTTTCATTTGTTATTGTTGTATTGGAATGAAATTCTAACAGTTCAGCCAATCCACCCATCAAGATTACACGAGCTCTTTCTTTGGCCGCCATGGTCTCCTTGACCTCGAATTATATGTCATCAGTATTTCATCATGCAGACCTTTTTCTCGAATCACGTCTAAAATAATTTCGATAGAGTTGTAGTAGCCCGGATTTAATTTCAGTTCTCTGTGATCTCTCAGATTGGGTGAGGCATCGTAATAGATCCTATTTTCGTCATGTACGACGAATTTGGGTAGTGGATGTCAGCCAACGATATTTCTCAATTGCCATCTAACGAAAGCATTGACAGTTTGGTAGTTTGACAGTGTATTTTGTGAACGTGTTGTTCGGGAACACATCGAGCAAGCCATTACTAGGGAGTGTCAAAAAGAAATTCTGCCGCGACATGTTGGTCTTTGAAATGAATCGGGTCATCGTGTGTGTGAACCATATGTATAAACGTTCCAACTCCCCGATCCAAGAATTAAGCGAATCGTCATACCGTCGCCACTTAACTAAATAATCTACGCGGCCATTATGTTTTTTCTTGCACAGAACAGAACTCAATGTACAATGCATCATCGTCCTTTACAATTTTCTGAAGTTCTTCTTCGTAGAAAGTACCTTTCCTAGTTGTAATCTGAAATTTTTTTTAAACAGGTGGTTGCATATTGAGGCGTCCAACAATCGTGAATACCTCTTCAGTCCAATTGGGAAAGTATCCTTTTTGAAAACGTGTTTAGTATTTCTGATTCTCACCGAGTTTATAAATCATCTTCTTCTTTCCCCCCTTTTTCTCTGTGCTTAGATCAGCGTACAATATGTCTTTTTTCTGGTTCGCATTGGTAATGATTGAGAGTTTGGTATTTATACTTCTGTGATGGGTATTGTTGTAAGAATGTATCATGTCGTCTAATACAGGCAGATAAGTCAACATGTTGTTCTTCGTGAAATATCTGAACATTTTGCCCTCGATGGTTCTGTTGTACCTCTCCACAACGCTGACTTTAGTCTCATTGCCTGTAGTAAAGAACTTAATGTTCAAGCTCTTGAGGTAGTTTTTAAAAAGGCTGTTGGTAAATTTAGTTCCTCTGTTCGTGTGCAAAACGTCGGGCGACGCCCCTTCTCGATTATTTTCCGAAATGCCTTCGACCAAACTTGCCCTTCTCTTGTCTTTCAAAGGTACGACAAAAGCATATTTAGAAAAAACGTCTATACACGTCAATAAGAACTTGTGTCCTCTGTTGTATCTGGATATCGAGAAGAGGTCGCATGGATCGGCCTCCCACTGCTCATCCACTTGGAAAACCACCACCATCCTTCTTTTAAAGTACTGTCTAGAGAGTTTGTGCAGAGTATATGTATCCTGTTTACTCAACCACTTCCTCACGTCCGACTTGGTTATCTTTTTTCCATTCTTTGTTTTTATTACGGCAGCTTAAAGGGAATTCAAACCCTGGTAACTTCCAGGACTTTGAACATCGTAAAACAGTTCGTCTAAACCGGTGCCCGTCTTCTTCATCATTATTTACACGTATGCTTATTTCACAAGCGCACAGGCAGTGGATACGTTCAATAAACGAAAGCAAAGTGGAACAACGTGGATCCATTACGACCGACTGCACCAAAGTGAGGTCGAGGCGATGTGATGTGGTTCTATTTAATACGAGGATGAATGGAAGTGGAAACCACATGGGGACAGGGTCTCTGCTGAACTCTCCCCTTGAGTGTGTTGCTATGCATGTAAGACCACCGATTCGTATTGCCAACAAGGTCTTGAGGAACATTTGACATTTTCATAACATTTCGGCAAATTCTCTCCAACCTGTGGGGGTGAAATTCTTCCTTTTACACAAGAAATCATTGACTAAATCAATGGCGTGCGTGCCTGGCACGGATTGTCCATCAATGATTAAATCACCGTTTTCACCCCAGTCGACCAGTTGGTTCTGTTTAACTTTCTTTCAAGAATTCGCACAAACACTGTATCAAGTCACTAGAGGCTCCATCAATTATCACCTTTTGTTGTTTCGAGTTGGCCTTTTGCAATACAGAGAGGAAATCAGCGTTTTTTGGCATGCGGGATGACATGATAAAATGACTGGCGATGGAAGATTGTCTTTTTTATACCTTTCTCACGTACACTATCGGTACTTGAGATGAAAGTATGTTTGTTCGAATGCTTACTTCCTCAGGGTTGTTTGGTATGAGACTAACTTGTGACGCGTCTCCCGAATTTTTAAACAGGAAAATGTAGTGCTTGTTGATACTGATGGTTCTCGATTGCCTGTCCTGATGAAAGAGATTTTTCAAAACCAGTATCACAGATAAATTTTGATGGTGGGATCCCTTTGTGAAGAACTGAGCGATTTGTTTATCGTTACCTGTTTCTGTCATCAGATCATTAATCACCAACAAGTTTCGTTTTGCCTGGTTGATTATTCTACCAATACCTGGAAGTACCCCTTTGATAAAACGAATTCATGGCACTGTCTTCATCATTTCCAAATAGGCTGGCTGAAACTCGCCGTAGCACCAATAGATAAAGTCTGGCGGTAGAGATATTGTTCTAATATCTGTTTGACTAAGCGTCTTCCCCGACTGCATGGGACCGCACACGAGAGAGGTAAATGGATGTTTCAATCTTGCATCCATGATGATATAATATGACCTCGCTCGTTATTGGGTCTCTTTTTACGTTCTTCAATGTACTTTTCCAACACCCAGTTTAAAACAAAATAAGGCAGTGTGCATAAGCCAGAATAGACGAGTGATAGAACCATGTCCGATTTGGTAGATCCCATGTCAATGTGATTGTTCAAGGTTCAAATGGATGGATGGAGGGTAGCCAATGATCTCTCTTCTATTTAGATTTTTTAAGAAACCGTATGGGAGGGGACAGTAATCATCTTGTATCACCCGTTTGTGATACACTAAACTGTACGTTTCAACTTCTTCTCTATTGAATATTCTATCTCCCTTGTGTGTTATTTTTCGAAGGTCTTTGACATGCAGAGGACTGCTTGTTCTCAAAATGAATTTCCAGTTGATTTCTGTAATTGAGAGGGAACCCTCTCACTTTACACACCGCCTGTTTCCCCCTTTTGTCTGGTTTGTGTAGTTGGTACACGTAATCGTTCGGTCCTCCCAATGTAATTATCCACTGGAGTTATTTATCTCATCAGATCTCTGAGATAATCACCTGTCGGTGGATCCCATTCTCCAGCTCGCTGATGGAATCTGTGTCAAAGTACAAGACTCTACTACCTAATTACTCCAGAACACTGTAGAGTTTAAGTCGGGCATAGCTCGTCGTCATGGCAGCCAGTACAATGTTCGTATTGAGTGCTTCGGTAATGTAGTCTTCCTTATCGCAGTGCTGGACAAGAACCATTTCGTCAGAGACAAAAGAAAGGTCTGTGACGTCCTTTGTACTATCCATCAACATTTCCAACAGTTTGGCTGGCGTTTCTAAATACGTGCTCTGTCCAAAGTTTGATCTCTGTCCCAGCTTTCCCCAGAACGAGTTGAGATTTAGCTTGGCGAAGGCTTTGAGGCCTAGATTGGTGGTTATCTTGCTTCTGTCCAAGACAATACCTTCACTTTCGTGGTACCTTTGGATGTAGATGGTGCGGTCTTCCTCGGTGCGACACCACTATGGATAACAGGAAGACTCTTGCATTTTTCAGAAACATGTTGATGTACTCTGTGAACAACCCTCCTTCTCCAGTCTCTGGGTTGTAGGTTTCTGACTCAACGTAATGCTAAACTTTGTATACCTTGGTGATTCGATACCCTACTTCTTCAGCCTTTTCCAATTCTGGACTGCACCAAACACCCGTCAGCTGGCGTTCATTGACACCGTAGTAACATTTGTCTTGATTCATGGTTTCTGTGCATTTGGAACAGAGTGGGAACATCAGTTTGTTGCTCACCCTGAAAAGTAGAACTGATATATACAATATCCTCGGAGGTAAAATGTCGCACTTGATAATATCGAAATAGGCCGTGGGTTTGGCGATAAAGTCTTTAGTTACGACTGTCGGGTGGCCAACTGGATATCGCGAGGTCTTATTGATGTATGGGTAGAGGCTGCAAAAGTCAACATACTCTATCTTTTCGCCTTCCTTGATCTCGTAATACAGATGCAGGACATTGGTATGACCGCTGAGAAAAGCCTCCCTGCCTCTGATATGATTTGAGATATCTAAGTTTCCGACAAACCTCTTGACTTTGTGATTGTTCTTTATCTGATTTTTGAAATCGCATTCCCACATGCTGACTAGCGAGTATCCTTTCGATTTCAACCACTCTTCCCTCGCCAGTAGCCTTTCGTATAGTGAGGTCATACTGAGTTCATTCTTGCGATTCAACTCATTCCTTTTGGGAAAACACTTTGGGCAAACGTGGAAGTAACAATCGTATTACTCATACAAGGTTCGGTAGAAGCATCATATCCGTCTACATATTAAGGTCCTATTTACATCTCCATTCTGGAATTAGGAACATGTTGAATACGCGTGTTATTGAAATGTGCCTCCTATTTCATCCATCTTATAGCATCTGTGGATTGATTCTAGGCACTGAGGTAAACTTTCTCAGGCACAACTCTCATTGTGTAAGGAGTCAGGAAATTCTTTTGAAATATGATGTTGCACACAGAAGCGATCAATATGCAACGGCTGAAGGGGTCAACTTTGGTGAGATCCATCATCATCGATCTAAATGCCATAAACATTCCTCAAGTATGCGCACGCCACTCCAACAGTACTTGAGCAGTTTTTAGCAGCCTCCTTCATACCATCTGGGTCAAAATAAGGAGCCCCGGGTCTTCTGTAATTGTCTCCAGCGGTTCTCGAAATCAGGTTGGGAAAAAAGCCCTTGTGTAACTCGTCGATGCCAAAGGTCTTAGAAAGTTTAGATAGAGCCATGGGCAGGAAATTCAAGCTATCAATGAATTTGATATCTGCACGACGGATGTATAGTTGCATGACTTTTGAACCATTCATGATGACTTCAGGTAGTATATTGTGATCGTGACAGCGTTTCAGAATCATAATCCCATCGTACCCCTTTGAATTATGTGCGATGAAAATCATCCAATTATGCTCTTTTTCTAATGCCCACTCGCAGAAATTTTCCATTGAACACTTTCTCCGTATTTGGTGGAATTCTCGCTACGCACAGAATATGGAATATGAGTGCAATGTTCGTCGGTCGTGCATTCAAAATCGTCAAAGACGTAGATACAATGGCTGTCAGAGTCATCCTCAAATTCTTCCATCGAATCATCACATTCTTGGTTCTTTTTTCTGTCGGTGAGTGGTTGAATGTAACACAGGTCGTCGAATATTTGAAAAGACTTGCAGGATTTGCAGTAAACTTCGTTAAATTTGTGAGACCCATCACGATATTTGAAGAGTTTGTGACATTTTTCGCAACGTTGAACTGACTGGCAAAGTGTTATTTTCCCATCAACCGACTTTTGATGCCATTCGAAACATTCTTCGTTCTTGAAAAATAATTTTTGAAAAGTGAAAACTAGAGTGACTGTGAAATAAAGGTTGGTTATAAATATTAAATATAACGGAATATGGATGAAATAATGAAAGGAAATTGAACTGGTATGAAAGGGCAGTAAATGTAGCGATGTAAAAATATGTCACAATACATTCATCAAAGCGGATACAAAGTGTCAACAAGTTTGGATGTGGTAAAAAACTTGATTTGCAGTTTACGTGAATTACTGGTAGAAACATTTATGCAAATTCTGTGCTTCAGTAACAGTATTTGCTGCTTTTTTGTGCAATGGAAATTAATACAAGAAATGATGACAAAAGACATACCCTTCCCTCCTTGGGACGTTTATCTATGTCATCACCAAGTTTAATTTTCTGTGGAATGTTGTATCTTGTGGCTTGTCTTTTTCAACACTTCTATAAATATGACAAAATATGTCTACCACTTCTGCTACACCAGTCGAACGAACTCGTCATATTAAAAGACTCAAAGTCGCTACAACTACATCATCTGACGACAATGTAACGTTCCAACAGCCGGATGTCCTCGAGAGGTAAGAACATCTTCATCCGTCTGTTATGTCGCATCAACAATCTGTATGTCACCGTAAATTCTTTTCGCGGACAAACTATGTACATCTTCGTAAGTATTATAACTACAACCCCACCAAGCGCGGTGTATTCTTAACCATGAAACTGTTCAGAGATGTCAATGACATTTTACCACAAATCAACAGCGTTGTTAGGTACGTTTTTTTATTTCTACACCCAAATACCTTCTACCCCTGCTGTTATATAGATTCGTCCAGAGTGGACGAGACTAAAAGATGGACGTATGATTTCTCTCCCCCTGCTGTTATATAGATTCATCAAGAGTGGGGTGACTATCAAAATCCAGGCAGTTTAGTCAATTCGTTTGCGAGTTTGCAAACTGAAACTTTTGAGACTGCTGTAAAAACAGTTCAATCTGCTAAACGTTTACCAGTGATTAACATTATTATGCGTGAAATGTTATATAGATATTTACTTTGTATTTTTTCACAGGCAACAGGAAAGCATTGGATAAGCTGATAAGTACGTCGTATCATGCAAGCCAATTGGGTGTGTCAGTTTAATGAAATTCGTCTCTACATTGACCAAGTTTTGTCCAAAATTGATAGTGGTAAAATTGCTATGCATTTCAAACACAACAAACACAAAATTATATTCAATGCAACTGATCTTACTAGTTTTACCCTTCTTTTGTCGAATACTTAACCACGTTTGAAAATGTATACTCTATGTATTTCAACCATTTTAAAATGTCATTTTTTATTCTTATATAATACTCAGTTTTTTAATCCATTCTTTTTTTTAATTATTTACTCAAACAAACAAAAAAATTATATTCCATGTAACTGATCTTAGTAGTTTTACCCATCTTTTGTCAGTTTCATAATCGAATACTTAATCACGTTACAAAATGTATACTCTATGTATTTCGACCATTTTTAAATGTCATTTTTTTATTCTTATATATTACTCAGTTTTTTAATTCATTCTTTTTTGGAACATTTACTCAAAAAAAAACAACAAAAAACAAAAAACAAAACAAAAAAATTATATTCTATGTAACTGATCTAGTTTTACTTTTCTTTTGTGTAATAAACTCCGCTAGTTTTCAAAATGGCACGTATTTATTAGCGTGTGCGCCCGCTACGATACATTCTGACAAATCGTACGTGATGTTCATGCTCATCCAATTTTAAAATAATTGAAAAAATAAAAAATAGATGGTAATTTATACAAATGTATTCACGTTGACCTCGTTATGATCTCGTATTCAAATCTATTTTATGTATGCAACTGTATTCACATTATCATATAGTGACGTCATCATCATTCAAATCACCCCTTCACGGCCATGTACACTCATTTATGCTAATTTATGCACGGATCTCCACTCTGACGTCATCCCACCCGTATGACGTCAACACATCCGAATATGAACAGCGCCCTCATGGTCGTACCTATAGTGCATTAAAAACTACTGATATGTGACATAAATACAAAATGACTGCTGTATGAAACTAATTACACTATGTTTGTTTATGTGTTGAATACGTACGACTACCATACACACCTATATCCTAGCCACCTTGTCTAGGTCACATATGATGTCAATAATGGAAAACTATTGTTATCAATGAAAACGGTTGGGATGGCACACACCTAATTTGTATAAAAATGACGCAATTGCGTTTAATGATGAAAATTACCAATGATTTAATTCTACCTCGTATTTATTTGATTTTTGTTTTTTTAAGTCTTCTACATTTTTTTCAATGATTACATTTGTATTTTAATTAACTAAAAGAATTACGTGAAGTAAAATATTACTTTTTGTCATTGGAAAATAATATGTCATATCTGCAAATAGCCCTCTTTGTAATATTAGTCATGTTTATTATTAAAAACAATTGCTTTATTGTTCCGTGCCATTGTGCAAATCGAGGAACTCATTCAAACGTTTATAAAGATAACATCATTTTCCCACTAGAAGACATCTTATAAGACCTAAAACACTAATGTTGCCTGGATGTAGAGTTAGGTGGTATCCCAGGACGTTTTAAACAGCAGTGCCGTATGTCATTTTGGTGATCTTCTATTAGTTGCCTGGACATTTCCTTTTATGGAATACCAATGTTTTAGTTGTCAACCTAATAAATATTTGTTCAGTTGTCCTTCCATGCGTTATCTCTGAAAACTCAAGTATGACGAAGAACGCTGCCATGCATGTGCCTAATGGAGTGCGTATTGAACTACAATGTGAACTAGGGTATAAAGTCCGTAGTGCCAATATCAACGTTTGTCATAATGGAACATGGAAACCCCGTCTGTTAGAATGCGAAGGTGATATAACACATCTCATTACCGCACTACTTTAATCTGTCCAGTACTAAATGCACTGGAATTGAACACTTCATTTCATATCATTAGTTAATTGAGTATATTTGAAAAAAACAAACAATTAGTTTAACAATTGCATCTACGTATCACTCATCTATACGATCACGTATGAACCGCATCATTGCTGCCCAAGCACAACAATATATATTATACACCATAAACATTTCGATGACAATAGTACAATGGTCGAGAAGAAGAAACTGTAGAGCAGAGGGTTTCAGCACACTATTAACGTTTGCTAGATATACAACAATACAATACTGTGAATTATTAATATCAAACAGACATCGACGAGTGCGAGGACAATTCACATGACTGCGATGAGGATATGACAAATAATTATTGCGTGAATACTCTGGGAGGTTATAAGTGTGTGTGCATAAGTGGTTATGTGGCAAATAATGGGAGATGTGTGCCGAGTGTTCCAGGACAAGAAGAAGATCGATGCTTTGAAAGCGTTACAGGTAAATGGTGATCTTCAATAAACTGGCGCAATTTTGCTATTCTTTTATTGTATATGTCATGTAAAAAAGGCATTACGATATCATTGAAATCTGAAAAGCTAATTTATTATTCATTTCTGAATAGATCAAATAAGTTGCTTCTCCGAGATGGATGCTGACTTTAATATCGAGTGGCCAGAGACAATAAGCGACTGCACTACAGAATGGGTCTCTTGTCCAAATGACTCATTTGGTAACTAAACAACTTTATCAACTTTTTTGTTGTACTAGTAAAATAAAAAATATTATTTAATATAAACTAAAATATATATCGTATATTATAACAAAAGTAATTTTGCACAATATGTCGTATAGAAAAGTGTGCGAATCATATGTCAATTGCAGGACAAGTTTCCAGTCTAATCTCATTAATATGAGTTGCAATACTCATAACGTAGTTTTTTTTAAATATTCAACTACAGCTTTTATCCACTTTTTGAATGTTTTGATAGTATCTGCGATTTTGATGAAATGCATTCGACATCGAGACCCCGAGATATTTCACATGTATATCGATATTACGTAGTTTTTTCATTTATTGATTTTTTTCGATTATTGTTTTGTGTTTGTAATTTTTTATGATTATGAATTTTGATGTCGTGCGCGTTTTTGTTATTTCAACTTTCTAAGGTATGATGCGTAGAAGATGTGACATTGACGGAAAGTGGTTACAGCCTGACACAACTGCGTGTAAATCGTTGGTAATTATGGAAGTCCTTAATGCGGTATGTCATGATTGTCCTATGAACAAATCATTCAAATGTTGTGATACTTATTTTCCAATTATGTTTATCAACTTGAGTTCGCGCTTTAACTTTAAATTACAGTACACAATGGTAAAGTGTCAGCTATAATATAATGATGATCACCCATTTAGGCACTGTTATTTCAATTGTAGATTCAATGATATAGAGTTTTTGAATTCAAATTTATTACTAGAAAAATAACAAATACTGGTGATTACCTATATTTGAGGTAACACGCTGCGTAAATTATCAATCTTTTCCATTTAAAGGTTAATCGCATAAACTCAAGCTCAGATGCTAATTA